TATTTATTAATGTAGATATCTCTTGGTATTAAGAGAAATCAAGCCAACTGTATTTAAAGGCTTCAGAGCAAGACTGATGCATTAATATTCCTGCTATAGCCACCATTTGATTCCAAGGCAGTTATTGAAGAATACAGTATGGCTTAAAAGAGTGGTGCTTTAATGAGTTGTTCTCGTGCTTTTCCCTTTGTTTCACATGTGAAACATGGTTCTTAATGGTGTTTTGGTAACTTGTAATAATTGAAGACAAATGGAAAAACTTCGTGATGCAAAACAATACCATAGAAGACGTGTAAGGGAAAAGGGATGGGTGTCTCCTTAAAGCATCCATTTATTAAAAATCAGAACAGAAAAATAACTTCTCTTTTAAATAATTTATTTTTACTTGATAAATTAGTTCCAGATTGTGTAGAGGACAGTAAAAGACCTGTTAAGGTGGTTTACAAGAGTGGGAACTAAAGTGGAGAACTAGTGGATAAGTGGAAGAGCTGGGACTGCAAGGTTGATATTTAGCACAGTTGTGTGAACACTTGTGTTTGTGGCACTGAGAGTAAATCACCAGTGCTTTGGTAATGCCAGACAGACACAGCACTGGGAACCCTCCTAGAGGAGCTGTCTTTGGGGTGCTGAGTGCAGCATCCCAACATTGCAGCTGTGCTGAATGATCCACGTGGGTCCAAGAGGAGCAGCACATGTGCCAGACTCGTGCTCAGAGATGTGTTAAAGTGCTGATACCCCTCAGTTCACAGAATTCAAGTGTCAGTGCAGGATGTGCTGGCATCTGGCTTCCAGTCCAGCTTCCTTGCAGAGAGCTTCATCATCCTGTTCCATCTTTCAGTTCAGGAGCAGAGATGTGCATCCTTCAGTCTGACTGCAGTTCATCATGAGGTGACACCACATTCATACAGCCCAGAGCATCCCAGCCCTGCAGAGCCGTGCTCAGGAGATTGTGGGGCACTAAAGATCAGACTTGAACTAATGCTGAAATCTCCTACTGCATAAAAATGGACAGATCCCAAACTAAAGCCACAGGCTTTGCTTCTGTCCTTCTGAACTTGGCTGGACGTAGCTGAAAGAGACAACATTCAGATAAATCTGCGTTCAGCACCTTCCCCGGCCTAGGTACCAGATTTGTGCTGCTCACGTAAATGTGGAGATAAATGTGTGATAAAAATACCATTGATGATATTTTGATTCCAGCCAGGTGCAGTGGGTATGAGACTGGAACCAAGTACTCCTGAAGTAGGCTGTCCATGTTTTTGGGGGAGCAAGCCAGCAGTGTCAGACTGCAAAGGGAGAGTAGGATCAGACCATGGAGATCTTCATGGCAGGTTGGAAGGAGATGGTGCTGGAGGGGAAGGGGAGACACTCAATCTCCAGGGTGACCTTGGTACCCTGAGCATCAACTCAGGAGAGCACCTGACCTGCAAAAACAAGGTGGAAAAAGGGAGGAGTGGTCTCAGCCCAGTCTGGCTGCAGCTCCTCCATGTAGCTGTGGTGATGTTTTAGGGATGAAGAGGGAGATGAAGGCTGTGCTGAGCAGGGAGGATTCCTGGTGTCTCAGTTCTGTTATCTCACTGCAGCACCAGTGGTATTATCAAGACAAATAGGATGCCAAAACTTAAAAGTGAACATATGTTTATGGGGGTGGTGGGGAATACAGAGGTCACTGTTGTTTCTTTTTGCTCAGAGAAGACATAATGGGGCCTGGTTTAGATAAATTAAGATTTGGAGCTAAGCTCGTGTCAAGACAACGCGAGTGTAATTATAAGTTGACTTCTTTCAGGGTCCCTGAAGTTTTTAGAGTCAAATAAAAATGTTCAGCAAGAGTTTTATAATGTAGTTCAATGGTTTTAATGTGAGCTGATTGCAGCTCAGCCTTGTTGGCTCCTAAAACAATTTTACTTTAATTAGAAAAATTTTCAGTGAACTTCCAAATATTTCCATGTCATTTCAGTGTTCTGTTTCCTCTCTCTCTGGACTTCATTTATATTTTGCTATTTTTGATGTCTTTTTCCTCCCATATTTCCTTATTTCCTTATGCACCTGGGTGCTGGCATGCCTAATTATTTTTTTATTCCAGTTAAAGTTGTCACGGTGCTTTTTCTACATTTTATTTTAAGATATAAAATAGTTGCAGTGCTCATTTTTAGTAAAACTTTAAACCAGACAGGTTGATTTATTTTTTTAACAACTAAAACATAAAACCATATTTCTGCCTAGTGGGATTGTTTGGAATTCTGGTTTTGAATTTGAGGGTGAAAAAAGGTGTAAAATACCTGTGATTTACAAACTGCTTCCTTTGGAAAGTCTCTGATCTCCTTGCAATATGTTGTTTCAAATCTGGTTTATATTTCCATCACTCTATAACTGGTAAGGAGCAAATAAACCATACCTTCTATAATACTTAGAGAGAATAAAAGTACAAATGCTCTTTATTAAAATGTGGAAAAACTGTAATAGGAAAACAAATCCATCCTGTTATTTCCCAGAAATGGAAGCATTTTAAGTGCTTTGCTTTTCATAAAAGGGGCAAATGAATTTTTCAAAATACAGTACAGAATCAGTGCTGTAATGCTAATTGTATTTAATAATAGTAATTTAAATTTGGCTGCTCTCTGCCTAGCAGCAGCGAGAGAAAATTGTATGTGGGAACGTTGAAGTCCAGAAGTGTAACATATGGTGTGCTTTGGCCTTCAGAGAGTCTCAGTGCACCCATGAAACAGCTCAACTGCACAAGTGTCCCTGGTGGTGCCCCTTCCTTCTCACCCCATCCCTGAGCGGTGCCTGACACTCCCCAGCATGGATTTACACATCCCAGCCTCCCTGCCTTTGGCACTTCGTTCCACAGGCTCATTTCAGCTTCTTCTCGTGTGAAAATGTTCTCTCCGAATTGCTTCTGTTCTCCTTCCCTAATGAGCATCAGTCCATCTGTGATTGCTCAAATTCAGATTATTAAGTGGGTTATTCACGACCATCAATCCCTTGCTCCGTGGCAGGTCGGATGCCCTGGGAGGTTCCAGTGCCTTTCTGTGGTCTTTCTTGATAAACCCTAAAAGAGCAGCATGGCCAGCTCTTCTGGAGAATTTATATCTGCTCTCCACATCCTCCATCACTTCAACATCTGATGCTCATTTATCACTTTTCCAATACCCTTTGATAAGCTCTAAATAGGTCAGGTGTCAGTTACACCACACCTCCACCCAGCTCCATGCAGATCCTGGGGGGATGTAAGTGGAATAGGAATTTGGTTTATTTCTTTAAGTACAGCCTTGTATTGTGTTGCCAGAACTTGTCTCTTCCCAGCCTCTCGCCGTATCTCCCAAGATTTCCTCGCTGCTGCTGCCAAACGCTGCATGGCTGCTGCCCGTGTCCTTATTTCCCTCCTTGACCCCTCCTCCCCTCCAAGCCTTTTCTTGGCTTATACCTTGTGCATTGTGCTTCTGTGTGATTTCTACGACTGTCCTTTGGTTGTGTGGCCTTGATCCTGCCCGTCATGATCCCGACCAGTCCCTTTCCAGCCGTGAGGCTGATCCGCGCCAGCCGCGCGCTGTCCCGCGCTGCGCTCCGACTCCTGCATTATTTAATCATCCACGTTGTAGGATTGACCCCTCTCCCTTCCCACATCTTTCCCTTCTCCTCACAGAGGCGTTTCAGGACAAAGTAAACACAAGTGGCACCAGGACTGACCCTGCAGCACCCTCCTGCTTTATCTCCCCTCCTCTTCCTCTCCCGGGCACCCGGAGCTTCCCGAGCCCGAGTGCTGGCAAAGCCCTGGCTTGGTCACACGCTTCCCAGTGCTGCAAATCCCCCTCCTGCAGAATAAAATATCCTGAAATACAGATACAGTAAACTCTGGCCATTGTTTCTGCCTTATCTATGAATCAATAATGTAGAGAAAGAATTCAAGGACGTTTTTCAGACAGGGCCTTCCTTTTTTTAGGCCGCGGTGACGTCCGCACCTTTAAATGGTTCCATAATATTCACTGCCTTTCAAATACACAGAAGAATTGATATCAGGCCTTTGTATCCGCAGTTCTTCAGATCCTTCCTTGCCTTTTATTAAAATATGGGAACGATAATCTCCATGCCTTTGGTTTCCTGATTTGGGTAAGCTGCCACAGAGCTGTGTCAGGCTTTCCTGTTTCCCTTTCTGTCCCTCTGCTTTGGAGTATTAATTCACTGGATCTGATCCTGAGTCAGTTTGGTTGTTTATTGTCAATATGAAGCAACAGAAGATCCTCTGCTTTCTACTACAATAGGAAAATACATGTTTACAAAAAAAAGTTGCTGTGGAATAGATATTTTATTCTTGGAGCCACTAAGCTGCCTTTCTTTGTACAATGGAGTTTTAGATGAAAATACAGATGTAGGGGGAAAATAATAAAATGATAAAAATAAAGTCTTAGATGAGTATTGTGTGTGTTACAGAGCACAAGGAGAAGCTGGTCAGAGGAGCTCAGGAGTGCAGACTGCCTGAGCTGTATTAGAAAAATTCTTTGCATGTAGAAGATTCACAGTTATTTAGTGTTAAGTATCACAGGGTGCTCAATAAGTTCATTTTTCCATCTCCTCACGGGCTTATTGGAAATAATAGAAAAATCTATTTACCACAGTAAAGGCAGAGTGGGACATCAGAAGTGGCCGCAGTTCCTTTTGCTGTGCTAGATCTCAATAAGTGGTAAAGGAAAACAGTTGTTGAGGAGAGAATCTGCTTGGCAAGTACCAGGCTTTTTGTAAAGATTTAAAGTAAAGAATCACAACAGGCAGGAGTGGTCATGAAAATATTGATGCTTGTTATTGGGCTGAAAAATGGACTTTATATTCAGTACAAATGTAGCAGGAACAGTCTTTTAAGACTGCTTCTATAGGAGCTGTACACAGGAGAGCTGGGTTCACTTTTTATGTACTTACTAGTTTTACATGAAATTATTAATTTATAGCTCTGAGTGTTTTATTGGAACAAGTCTTAAAGCTTCTTTTCTCATCTCCCCTTTTAGATTGATGCATTGGGTAAACGAAGCAAAGAAGCAGAGGCAGCCTTCTTGAATGTTTATAAGAGATTAATTGATGTTCCAGGTAAGCTAATTATTCCCTTATTCTGAGAAACTAATGGTTCATGTTTGTGTGAATGCTACTGGGCATTTTCCCTACCTTTAGTAAGGTAAATAGAGCAATGGCTTTGTTCTGGAACTGACAGACTCCTGTATTGTTTCTAATGGAGAGAACTGTAACTGTGGCACATTTCAGGACTTCTCATTGCATCTAGATGTCAATGTTTCTATTAATCAATTTATGTTATTATGATACTCTGTGATCCTCAGTATTTTGTTCATTAGAGGGTTCAGACAATTTTAACAACAAAAAAAAGCATCTCGAAGTTCACCAAGAAAAAGCAGTATTTGTACTTTTAAAGGATACAGAAAACTTTTCATGCCTTCCAAGAAAAACAAAAGAAAAAGCCTTACTGAAAAGTAAATCACTACCAAATTTCAGTTCTCTGCAGTGTAAGTGTGACCATAAATTTTATTCAAAGGCCTTTATTGTATGTGTTTTCAACTTCCCTTTTGTTTGGCATACGAACTTTCTTTGTTTGGCATTTGGTTTCAGTTCATTTCTTTTTACATTTTGGGAGTTGATTTTTTTTGTTTTCCCCAGTGGTAAATAAATAACTGCCTGAACAAATTTTTCTTTTTGCAGCTGTACCCACAGCTGAGAGGGGGTGAGGAGCCCAAGTCTCCACTGCCACATTTGGGCCTGACTGAGCTGTTGCCACATGACCATTTTATAGTTTTATAAAACATTAACATTGTGTATCTATATAATATTCAAAATACCTCAAGAGGGGCTTTGAGGTGTAATTAATACTTTTAAATACTTTTAAAGCTTCACAGCACTCTGGCCTTTACTAGTTTTACTGTTTAAGGAGCACATTTCATGCATGCTTCAAGTAAAAATTAAATTTTTAATGTTTTAGTTTAATGATTAACTGGTTGAAAGGTCAGTGTTTTCAGATGCAGTCTGAGCTAACAAATGTATTTTTTTATGCTCTCCCATTCGTAGTTGAGCAGTGCCCAGTGCCCAGTCCCCCTGCAGGGATGCAGGGACTCGCCACACTCTCCTGGGCCACAACTGCCGTGGAAATGTTGTTTTTAGGTTAGTCAGATGTGGTCTGTGAGTTTTCTTCACTTATTTCCTGCTCAGACTCTCAGTAATGTTCTGCTGAGCACAGAACAGCTCCCTTTGCCCACCTCATGCCATGGGAGGAGTGGATAACTCGTGGATAACTCGGAGAGGGTCCCGACTGTCACGAGCAGTTTGCCTGGCCGGAGCAGTGTGGGCCTGGAATGGGCACCCAGAGCTCTGGCTTGGAAAGAAACCACTCCATGGAAACATTCCCAACATATCTGCAGCCTGGGAGTCCAGCATGAGCGCTGGGGAGAGGCACTGCAGCCCCTCCATCTCCACACGAACACTCGCTGCAGCTTCCTGCCATCATTTGGTAGGAAGCTGAGTAGGTTTGAGTTGGAACAGTCTGGCTTTTTTCACCACTGAGAAGTGGTGTCAAACAAGAGCTGTGTGGGATCCTTGGTGTGCTCTTGTGCAGAGGCTTCTTGCTGAAGCCTGGCACATCACAGGTGCTGGGATCTGAGCAGCAGATCAGACCAAGCCTTGAGGAGAAGGTAGCATTTATATCCCACCCACCAGGATTTATATGAAATGGTGAGGGACTTTGTCAGGACTTTCTTTGTAGGAGAAAGAATTTTCTTTTTTCTTTCATTTGCAGGAGAAAAATTTACAGCCCTGCTCCTACACCCCACGGCCTCTCTCCTGCCCCGCCGTCCCCTGCGCGTGCCTTATGTCACCTGTCACAGAAATATTTCTTTGATTTTCCTAATATACATAAAATCTTCAGCCTGGCTGAGATGGGAGTGCACTGGAGTCTGTGGGATGAGAAATATCTCTAGGTTTTAGGCCCATGCTCTTACCTAGAGGTCTGAGGTAGAAGTAAATTCCAGGTTCTCCAGGAGAAGTCCAGTCAGTCTCCTGTAGCAGCGTGCAGGCGTAACAAATACTCACAGTTTACAACACACTCTGCAAGGAGAAGGAAAGCAGCCATTAGGAATGTATGGCACTGGTCTTTGTCACTCTGCTTCATTGTATTGCTCTTTTTTTTCCCCTTCTCATCCTGTGTAGTCTGCTAGGTTGGGCAGTATCCATGGAGGGCTGGGCAGTGTCCATGGAGGGTTGGGTGGGTATCCATGGAGAGCTCTCCTTTATAAACAGCCATCAGTGTTCATTTATCACATGTGTTGCTTTGCCTCCCTGTGGCTTTACATATCTTTTGACCTGTTCATTTGGTATTTCAAATATTTAGGTACACTTTTAGCTGCCCAATGCTGCTGTGTTTTCTTTTTGGTGTGAGAAGGGAGGATGATGTTTGGGGGAAGCTATGCCTGGAATGCTGCAGAGTGGTTATTTAGCATTAAGCATCGCTGTTACATGACAAGGGTGCAATTTTATCAGACTTTCAATATCCTTTATAGGACCATATAATAATTGCAGCTGAAGTCTAATTCCCAGCAGCCAATTTTATGGTTCTTGAGGAAAGCGTGTATTTCTCTCCTCAGTAATAATGTGCACACTTTATATAATTAAAAAGGGCTTCTATTTTAATTTTACTATAAAATGATCTGTATTGAAACTCCAGCTACAGTGCTTTATGGATTCAGCAAAGTTTAATCATTTTCTTTCCTGACCTGCCCAGAGTTTTCACTCAGGCTCACCAGTAAGGAATTCGTGGGAAGGGTGGTATTTTACTTGTAAATTTTTCTATGTACATCAGGGGGTTTCTCTTTAAAAGATAAAACAGACCTTTTATATATCTCTCTCCAGCTTTATGATGCTGTTAAAATAGCATTATCATTGCTTTGTGCTGCAAAATTTATCCTTCTTAAAGGAAAGCACATGTCAAGGAAAACATTTTGGTTTATGTACATTTATACAGCTCAGATCGTTCTGTCTTGCTTGAGACTGAATATTTTTAATTAATGGAATTAATTTTCTCATTTAATTGCCTTATTTTCAGTATGCAGTACAGAGCAAGGGAAAAGCGAATCCTGCCACATGAATTGCACTAATCAACAAGGTTGTCACAACTTACCTTTAAAAATAATGTGAATATATTTATTTTGAAGTAAAGGGAGGTTGGGTCTGTGTTTTGAGGAAGCCTTCTTCCATCTGTTCAAGACTCCTTTGTCTCCAGTTTTATAAAATAAGTGTATTATGTTAACACCCTTGGCTTTTAGGGTCTTAATCTTGCAAGCACTTAAAGTGAAATTGGAGCCTTGCTGTGTGTTTGGAGGAGCGGTGTTGCCTTGCAGAAACAGTATATTCAAAATTCTTTTTTTTCTTTTTGTTCTGCTAAATCTTTAAAGGAAAAATAATAAGCATTGAAAATGCTAAATATTTTTATTTCAAGAAGGAATAGTGTTTTATTTTTTAAAACAAAACTTTGGTGTAATTTTCAAGTAAAAGTTCAAACGTGGAGACCAAGTGAATGCCAGGTGTCAGTGTCTGAATAAATTGGTTAATAGAGTGTTCTTTCTGCAATGGATCATTGCAGTTACAGCCCAGTGCCATGCTGGATTTGCTCAGTATTTTGTCTCACTATTGCTCCTGTGTAGGCAAAGAAACAATTCTGCCTTTAAACACAAACTCTGCTCTTGGAGCACAATTAAACCCAGTTGGGTTCAGTCTGTAGAATAGGAAAACACAGAGGTTTTACAGCATATGGACATTTGAGAGTGAGGGAAGGTTAATGCAAACTGTTTGCTCGTGGTTTGGAGGGGCTGTGCTGCCTTCCAGGGCTGAGCCAGAAATGGGTTTTGTTTCTCCTTAATGGGAATGAGAAAATTGGTCAGGAAACGAAACAACTCTCGGGGTGTAAAAGGGGATGTGCGTGTGGTTTTATTGGAGACTCTTCCCAGCTCTGTGCTGTGATCAGATTGGGTGCTATATAATGTGTGTGTGCTGTGGGTTTTAGCTCAGTGGACCTGCTATCGAAGGGAAGTATAACAAAAAACAGAGAAAGTAAAAATAAGATTTTTTTTTTTTTAATGTGCCCTGTCAAAACAATCAAAAGCAATAACAGTGAAAGATGGCTGAAGTGGAAATTTTATCTTTCCCTTGCTCCTTGCCATCATAAATTGCACACCCAGCCGTAGGGGCTGTGTCTCACAAAGGGGTTTGAGGGAGGAGCAGACTCCTTCCAAAGGAGTTCTCCACACACCTCTCACTACGTGTTGTATTTTAGTCTACACACAACCCCAGTTCAGCCTTGCAAATTCCAGCTGCCCTGCACACGGCGTTCTTTTTCCAAGGAATGCTTTACCTGAGAAAACACAAAGTTCTTTTTGAGTAAATGATCAGTAAAGCACTAAATAAGCATGAGGGAATTACTTCTAAAGGCAGAAATGAAAATTATTTGCAGTGTTTGCAAATAATCAGCCATTTATCAGCCTTTGCCTTTTGATTATTTACAACTCACGACCCTCTCCAGACTTGCACTGCTGTTTGGGCTGTGAGAAAATTTCATTTGAAGTGCATTTGATCAATGTCCTGAGGTTAAAGGTGATGCAAGAGAAAAACAGGTTTGATTTTGGATTTCGTTGGGGGTTTTTTCCCCCAGAAAAATTATCTGCTGCTTATGTTGGAGTTGATAAATGTGTATGAAGTTGTTGTGTTTATGTACATCCTGTGATGTGTTTGTATTTTTTGGGAAAGCGTAATGTTAAGCAGAAAGGTTAATGCCAGCCCTGGTAAGAAAGTCTGTATAATAAAGATTTTGACAGACCCACATGACTCATGATGTGCTAAAATTTCAACCTGGGTACCCCCAGCCTTTTCTGTCTGTAGGGAGAGCTGAGTGAATGTAAATGTAGGGGGTAATTAAGAGGTGAGGGAAAAGAGGTTCACTCTGAGGGACTTGTTTAAGCACATCCCAAAGTGGAATACAAAAAGGAGTTTGGAAAAGTTAATGTTAGAGTACTCTTGTCTGAGATAATGGTTAATTGGTT